CCCCCCCCCCTCCTGCTCACCCCCCACCTTCTCTCTCGCCCCGTCTCCCTCCCCCTCTCTATCTCCCCCTCCACCCTCTCTCCCCCTCTCACTGGGTATCACTGGAGTGTTACCATCTCCAGTTTGAGGCAGACCCGGAGCGAGGGAGAGCGGCGGGAGGGGATGGGGGGGTGGGGCGTGGAATTTGGGGAGGTGTTTTAGTTTTGGGGGTCAGGACGATTTTGCAATCTGGGGGAGACACAGTTGGAAAGGGAGCAGATTCAGCAAGGGGAGTCTGCAAATGGGTTAGGGGTAGAGGAGGTGTTTCGGGGACATAGCGGGGGGTGGGCGGGATTTGGGGAGGGGGGGGGGGGGGGGGGGGGGGGGGGGGGGGGGGAGGGGGGGGGGGTGAGGGGCAAATGGAGGGAGAAAGGGTAATCCGAGGCTCATTCACATACAATCTACTGATGGATTTCTGTCTCTCTCTCTCGCTCCCTCTCTCTCCGTCTCTATCTCACTGTCTGTCTCTGTCTCCCTATCTCTCTCTGTCTTCTTGTCTCTCTGTCACCTTCTCTCTCTCTCTTTCTGTCTCTCCCTCTCACCCGCTCTCTCCCTCTCTCTCTGTTTCACTGTCAACTTCTCTCTTTCTCCCTGTCCTCTCTCTCTCTCTCTCCCCCTCCTGTCTCTGTCTATCTATCTCTCTCACTCTGTCCCTCTCTGTCTCTCTCTCTGTCTCCCTTTCTCTCTCTATCTCTCCCTCCTTTCTGTCTCTCTGTCTCCCCGTCTCCCCCTCTCTCTTTCTCTCTCTCTCCTGTCTCCCTCCCTCCCCCTCTCTCTTTCTCTCTCTCTCCTGTCTCCCTCCCTCCCCCACCTTCTCTCTGTCCCTCTATCTCTGTCCTTCTCTCTTGTCTCTCTCTCCTGTCTCCCTCCCTTCCCCACCCTTTCTCTGTCCCTCTCTCTCTGTCTCTCTCTCCTGTCTCCCTCCATCCCCACCCTCTCTCTGTCCCTCTCTCTTGTCTCTCTCTCTCCTGTCTCCCTCCATCCCCACCCTCTCTCTTGTCTCTCTCTCTCCTGTCTCCCTCTCTTCCCCACCCTCTCTTCCCCACCCTCTCTGTCCCTCTCTCTCTATCGTTCTCTTGTCTCTCTCTCTCCTGTCTCCCTCCCTTCCCCACCCTCTCCCTGTCCCTCTCTGTAAGCTTCAGAGACCAGCAGTAAACCCTGTGACTGTCAGATGAGCACAGGGAGAGAGAGAGAGAGAGAGAGAGATGGAGAGAGTGGGATCACGTGCTGAGACAGGGCTCTCTCTCTCTCTCTCTCTCCCTGCCCCCATCCCTCTCTCCATCTCTCGCTCTCTGACAGTGCTAATGTTAATGGCCATTCTCTGAATAGAGCACCAAACAGGAGAATACAGATCCTCTCTCTCTCTCCCCCCCTCCAACTCTACCCCTCTCTCTCTCCATCCCTCTCTGCATCACTCCCTCCATCTTTCTCTCTCTCCCTTTCTCCGTCTCTCTCTCTCTCCGTCTCTCCCTCCATCCCTCCGTCCCTCCTCCCCTTTCCTTTGAAATTCACAGGACTGAGCGGGAGTTAGCTCTCTCCATCAGCTGCCCCTGTCCCAGTGTGTTCTCTCTAACCTTTTGTCCCCACCCC